GTTGAATCAAGGAATTTCACTGTAAGCTACCGTATGCATAGACGTAACCACAGCATGTGAAGTAACAGGAGAGTCGATATCACTGAGGACAGATTTAAATCAGGAGAGATACTAGAAATCGAACGCAATGCAAACTCTACTTTCATACAATGGTGTCCTCATGTCACGAGCACTAGATTCTTCAATCCGATAATTGTTCGATTTTTCGTTTCGATAACTCGAACCAAAAGCCTTTTCCCTCCCCTCAGTCAAGCACCGTTATTTTACCCCCGATTTTCTTGAACTACCCGAATTTTCAAACCAATTGCTCTCTTGGAGGTTCGAAAAATCGGCTTTTATACTTTTGTACCTTTAAATCGACTTTGATACCGTCTCTACACTCTACACTAGCTTAACAACTTTTTATCTTTCATAAACTTATATGGAATCCTTTCTTTGGGGTCGTCATTTTGATTACCTATTTTATATTTCCTGCATAACCTGTTTACTTGGTTAGTTCCTAGTTCAATTTTGAGGAAGATGATATTCGTTCTTTTGACTGAAAGGTTTCAGTCCCTTTCTGATTAGGTCATGTTCCAAAGGCACAAAATTCTCGCTTCTGAAAGAACAAGCGTTGGAAGTCAACTGATCTCGCAAAATTCCAATCGACAATTAGAGACGAAGAGTTTTGTTTTTCTTCACGACCCAGACAATTTGAACTAGATTTTGCCACCTGTGCATTGTATTGTTAGGGACCGTAACGAAGACTGCTTGAACAGGCATATCCTAAAAGTGATCAAAGAGACAATGGATGTTCCCGAAACAAAGGATGGGAAATATAACAATAACTAGAGAGAGACAGTCTAAAAACCAGACTGGATTCTGAAATAGGCTCGCCCTGACTGCTTTGCAGAAGAATATTTACAATAGTAAAGACATCAATTCGCTTAACAACGAAATTTACTTGGCTGTTTACTTCAACCGTATTGTTTCCTACACAAATAACTTAAGTTAAACTACAAGAACCTTTTTTTGTGTGGAAGGTTGTGTGTATTAATAATAAAACAACATAAACCTTTGATGCTTCTACTAAAAGCGTACAAAAGATTTACCCAATCTCGGTCAGAAAACCACATATCTTGTGAATATAATTTACAAAAGACTACAAAAATGCAACCGAAGGAGTGTAGTTCATAAAATATATTTATTTAAAACTTTTATNCCTTTCTGATTAGGTCATGTTCCAAAGGCACAAAATTTTCGCCTCTGAAAGAACAAGCGTTGGAAGTCAACTGATCTCGAAAAATGCCAATCGACAATTAGAGATGAAGAGTTTTGTTTTTCTTCACAACCAAGACAATTTGAACTAGATTTTGCCACCCGTGCATTGTATTGTTGGGAACGAAGACTGCTTGCACAAGTATATCCTAAAAGTGATCAAAGAGACAATGGATGTTTCCGAAACAAAGGATGGGACATATAACAATAACTAGAGAGAGACAAAGAGTCTAAAAACCAGACTGGCTTCTGAAATAGGCTCGCACTAACTGCTTTGCAGAAGAATATTTACAATAGTAACATCAATTCGCTTAACAACGGCATTTACTTGGCTGTTTACTTCAATCGTATTGTTTCCTACACAATAACTTAAGTTAAACTACAAGAAGCTTTTTTTGTGTGGAAGACTGTGTTTATTAATAATAAAACAACATAAACCTTTGATGCTTCTACTCGAAGCGTGAAAAAGATTTACCCAATCTCGGTCAGAAAACCACATATCTTGTGAATATAATTTACAAAAGACTACAAAAATGCAACCGAAGGAGTGTAGTTCATAAAATATATTTATTTGAAACTTTTATCTGAAATGAGTGATAAAAACCTCTTTTCATTCTCTGACATATTTTGACATGTGCACAATCAGGTTTGAAAATTCTCGGAAATGATTGTTTCAGT